GGTTGAAGACGACAGGGTGCTTCAGATCAGCGGAGAGAGGAACGTAGAGAAGGAGGACAAGAACGACAAGTGGCACAGAGTGGAGCGCAGCAGCGGCAAGTTCTTGAGGAGGTTTCAGCTTCCTGAGAACGCAAAGGTGGACGAGATTAAGGCTGCAATGGAGAATGGGGTTCTGAGTGTGACTGTTCCAAAGGCTGAGGTGAAGAAGCCTGATGTCAAAGCCATTGAAATCTCTGGTTAATTAAAATTGAGGAATCTAAGATCATCTGAGTTCTATAGTGCATCCACAGAGTATGTAGTAGAAATAAAGAGTGCCGATGGATATATATATATTTCTATATGTGATTTTGTGTGGCTGTCTGTGAGTGTCAAGTGTTATCCATGTTGATATTAATGAAATTGTGTGGTTTCTTGTAAAATTATATTATAACTTGCATTTTTAATTTTATATACCCTACTTGAATTCGAAGAATCGAACTCGTGTGTAAAAAGTCGTAACTCAATTGAAATAAGGCTAAAGCGCTGCGGTGATCAACCGGCTTAATGTATATAATTTTATTTTATTCATTAAGTAAACATGAATCAATCACATTCTGAAAGTTTCTAGAATTACCACATTCTCTTTCATGGTGAATTTAGAAGAGTACATGTGTCTTCTTTTGGGATGTTATCAAAAGGGGAAGACATTTTCAAGTGACTTAATTATGGTAGGCAGGCAGTAGGCTTTACCTTAGTCCCCAACAAATTAAGGCTTTTCTTAATGTTGATCCTTCACCATTGGTTGCATAATTGACCTGCTCATAATGTATTTTATCTTGTTATTACTTGAATTAATCTTGTTATAAAACTAGAGAATATGTAGGGAGAAATAAGAGGAAGAAAGAGACAGTATAATTTGCTCAAATCAACTTGTCTTTCATTCATATTTGGTGCCACTATTTATAGGAGCAGAGATACCTGAATCACCTACCACCCATAATTGATAGGTTACAAATACATTGGTTGGTAGAGTACAAATACATTGGTAGGTTACATGTATATAATGATGGATATTATTGTGGGCATCCATAACCTATAAACCCATAACGTATGGATTTATAACACTCCCCCTTGGATGTCCACCAGACAATGATATCATGTTGGACGTGCTAAATGTTGCCTCATTAAAAACCTTGTCAGGAAAAACCACATGGGATAAAAACCTGATCGAAGGAAAAAAGAGTACATTGCACATACATCCAATGTAGTAAAACTGAGGAGTTTCCGCGATTGATTTCTCCCCCTGATCTTCAACAATCTGATTGCTTGTAAAGTCGTCGCATTCCTATACCATATACCAACTTCTGAAATATAGACTTCGGAAGAGCTTTGGTGAAGAGGTCTGCCAGGTTATCTTGGGAGCGAATTTGTTTGACTTCAATCTCTTGATTCTTCTGAAGCTCATGTGGGTAGAAGAACTTTGGTGGTATATGTTTGGTTCTGTCACCCTTGATAAACCCTTCTTTAATTTGAGCTATACAAGCAGCATTGTCTTCATACATGATTGTCGGGGCTTTTGTTGTTGAAGAAAGATCACATGTTTTCCGAATATGATGAACTAGGGATCTTAACCAAACACATTCTCTACTGGCCTCATGGAGCGCAAGAATTTCTGCATGATTAGAAGAGGTAGCAACCAAAGTTTGTTTTGTAGATCGCCATGAGATTGCTGTATTTCCACAAGTAAACACATAACCAGTTTGGGAGCGACCCTTATGTGGATCGGAGAGATACCCAGAATCCGCGTATCCAACAAGATTTGAACCGTTGGAAGGTTCGTACGAATAAAACAAGCCCATATCAGTTGTTCCACGAAGGTAGCGCAAGATATGCTTTATACCATTCCAGTGTCTACGTGTTGGAGCCGAGCTATACCTGGCTAATAAATTTACTGAGAATGCAATATCTGGCCTAGTACATTGGGCTAAATATAATAAAGCACCTATTGCACTAAGATATGGAACTTCTGGACCAAGTATCATTTCATCATCCTCTTTAGGACGGAATGGATCTTTATTTGTGTCTAATGAACGAACTACCATTGGAGTACTCAACGGGTGGGCATTATCCATATAAAATCGCTTCAAGATTTTTTCAGTGTAAGCTGATTGATGGACAAGAATACCATTGGGATGATGCTCGATCTGCAAGCCCAGACAATATTTAGTTTTTCCAAGGTCTTTCATCTCAAATTCACCCTTTAAATATTCAGCAGTTTTAATGATCTCTTGAGGAGTTCCAATTAAGTTCATGTCATCAACATACACTGCTACGATTGCAAATCCAGAATTTGATTTCTTTATAAAAACACAAGGGCATATGGGATCATTAATGTAGCCTTCCTTGATCAAATATTCACTAAGACGGTTATACCACATTCGTCCGGATTGTTTCAACCCATATAGAGAACGTCTCAACTTAATGGAATACATGTTCCGTGATTTAGTGTTTGATTCTGCCAACTTGAGTCCTTCTGGGACTTTCATATAAATATTAGCATCTAACTCCCCATACAAGTATGCAGTAACAACGTCCATAAGACGCATGTCAAGTTTTTCTGAAACTGCAAGACTTATTAAATAACGGAACGTAATTGCATCCATAACAGGAGAATATGTTTCTTCATAATCAATCCCAGGCCTTTGAGAGAAACCTTGCGCAACGAGTCGTGCCTTATACCTTGCAATCTCATTTTTCTCATTACGCTTTCTTGTGAACACCCATTTATATCCCACAGGTTTTACACCTTGTGGTGTTTGAACCACAGGTCCAAATACACCACGTTTTTCCAAGGAATTTAACTCAACTTGGATTGCGTCTTTCCACTTTGGCCAATCAGGCCTTCCTTTACATTCATCAACAGATCGTGGTTCAATATCTTCATAACCTTTTATAATCTCAGCAGCTACTGCGAAAGAGAAACTATCATCGATAACCATTTCACTACGGTCCCATAATTCATCATTGCATGCGAAATTTACAGAAATTTCTGTATTAGGTATCTTTTCCTCTTCAGTGGCTTGTGTCTTTTCAATGACACTTTCATTCTCCGGATGAATTGTAGATTCAAGGTGAATCTCTTTCCCAATAATATCTTCATTAGCGTTTCCATTGGGATTGGGATATACTTTCGATTTTCGCTTTCTAGGAGTTGAGTCCTTGGAACCAATGGGTCTACCTCGCTTCAGGCGTGCAGTAGATGATTCATTTGCTGCAACATTGGTTAATCCGATTGGGATATCAATCCTTGCTGGTGTGTTTGCTGCAGGTATATGTGATTTTGTCACTTTTCCTGTATCAGTGAATGCATCTGGCATTTGATTAGCAATTTGCTGAAGGTGGACAATTTTTCGTACTTCATTTTCACTTTGAGTTGTACGAGGGTCAAGATGAGACATAATGGATATGTTCCAACCCAATTCTCGCCGTTCTTCAGGAACGGTATTTTCTCCCTAACGGCGGGAAGAATGTCTCATCATAGTGACAGTCCGCAAAACGTGCTGTAAAAGTATCTCCTGTCATAGGTTCGAGATAACGAATGATAGTTGGTGAATCAAAACCAATGTAAATTCCCAATCGACGTTGAGGACCCATTTTAGTGCGTTGTGGGGGTGCAATTGGCACATAAACTGCACAACCAAATACCCTTAAATGTGATATATTGGGTTGTCTCCCAAAGGCAAGTTGTAAAGGGGAGAATTGGTGGTGGGTAACGGGCCTAAATGGTGTCTACTCTTAATTCAAACCAAGATAGCTAACATGCAAGCCTAAATGGTGATCAATCATTCAAACTAGCATATTAACTTATAAGCATAATGAATAAGAACAAAAACCATAATTGAAACTTGGAAACTAATCAAACTTGAAACTAAAGAAAAGAATTTACATAACAATGAAAATTAAAGTAGAACTTGGAAAGACTTAAAGGAAAATTTCAGCACAAAGATTTCATTATAACAATTGAAAACTAGAAAGAGAAACTAAGAGAATTTGAGGGAGAGAAGGGAAGGGAGCTCTAGAGAAGTGTTTGAGAGCTCCCCCCCTTGGGGTGTGTTTACAAGCTT